CTCGGCTTTCTCTGAGGTAGGTGGTGGGGGATGCCGGCCGCCCTCGGCCGCCTCCGCCGGGTCCTGCTGGGCGTCCCCCTCGCCCCGGTCGCCCTTCGACTTGAGGGCTTTGAGGAGCTTCAGGCTCCTCTCGTACTCCAGGAGCTGGCCCAGGAAGTTGAAGTTGGGCGAGATGGACGGGCGACGGTCCTTAACGAACCTGCCGAGAGGCACAGACAGCCCCGGGTCAGCGGGTGGGCCCGGCCCCCTCCGCCTCTTTGGGGAGAAGAGGTGGCAACCAGGACCTTCCCACCAGGCCCTCCGAAGAAAGGGGTCCAGGGGAACCACGGGGGCTTGGGATGGTCCAGGGGTAGAGCTGGGGCTGCCTCCCCCCTCCATTTTCTGGCTCCTCGTTGCATGCACGTTTCGAAGGGAGGTTTGGTTTGGTTCCAGCGAGGCTCAGCCATGGTAAGACAGAACTTCAAGCTGCTCCCACCCTCTCCTTCCAGGCTCAGCCTGCTCTCCTTCCCTGGATTGAGGGGAAAACTCACCTGTAAGCGTCGTCTGACGACATACCCATGGTCTTCATGATGTAGGCGATGGCGATGGTGGCCGACCTTGAGATGCCAGCCAAGCAGTGCACGATCACCTGGCAGCTGGACACCTTGGCCTTGTCTGGAGAGGGGTGGAGGAAACAAAGAGCATAGATGCGGTCAGAGGTGGTGAGCAAAACATCTCCATCCTCCCTCCCCATCCCTCAACCCCTTTGTGTGAAAGGACAAGGGTTGCTAGGTGAACGTTGCTAGTAGGTGGAAGACCCTTGGAGGACAGAAGAAGAAGAGTTCAGGTTCTGAAGGCTGAGAACCAGAGGGTCTGCAACCATTGTGACAAAAACTCACCGATGAATTCAATGGATTTGTCCAGCCAGGGCAGCAGCTTCTCACAGTAGTTGTCGTTGACAGGAATGCGCATGAAGTGACTGTCACAGATGAAGTCTGGCTTGGGACAGGAGTTGCTGGCGTTGAGGACGTAGCTTATCCCGTTCTGTGTCATCAGATCCTGGTGGGAAGGAAGTGATCAAATCATTAGCTGAGTTCTGTCCGGCCACAAAAACTGTGGCTGAAAGCTTTGAAGGTATCAGCTGATGGAGAGAGGAGGCACCCCACCAACAAATTGGGGCAAGTCGTTGGTGGCACCCTAAGTTAACCAAGGTCAACCCCCCCCTCAGGAAGGCATTGGGAGTTCTCACAGGTCTGTTTGTTGCTCACAGCTCTTCACTCTGGTGGTGGGACATGGGCAGGTGGTGAGGGGAACCATCTCTGCCTTCTTCCCAACCCCGAAGTGAACCTGGACCTCTAACCCCAGGTCTGTAAGAAAGATGGGGACAATCTTTTCAGCAGTGTCTGTTTTGTCAGGACAAGGGGGGATGGGTTTAAACTAAGAGGGAGATTTAGATTAAGGAGAGTGAAGAAATTTTTGGTGCTGAGGGTGGTGAGAGCCTGGCCCAGGTTGCCCAGGGAGGTGGTCACCATTCCAAGTGAGGTTGGATCAACTCTGAGCAACCTGCTCTTGTTGGGGATGTCCCTGCTCCCTGCAGGGGGGTTGGACTGGATGACCTTGAAAGGTCCTTTTCAACCCAAATCCTTCCATAATTTTCTTTTAATGACTTTTCTGCCCTGGCCACTCCACAGCCACCACCTCTGCCCGTATTTCTGACTCAATAAAACTCAGTGGCACAAGATGGACCTCAGGTAAAGAGAATCAGATGACAAACTGCAACGAGGGGGTGAGGACATCATGGAGCTGGGCAGCTGGGTGTGTCCTGCTGCATCCATACCAACATCCACACCATTGGATGGTTTCCTTCCCTTCCTTGCCTGTGGCCAACTTCACCATCCAGCGATGCCAACCCCAAATTTATGTTCCCTGTCCCACCTCTACAACTGGGCTCACGTTGCTTATAAAAACTGGGAGGACATCTGTGCCAGCTGCTGGGCCTCAGTGCCAAGTCCAGGGAAGCTCCAAAATTAAACAGGAGGAGGAAAGATGGAAAGGGAAGAGTCCTTCCACGCGTGGAGCTGCCACGTGGGATCTTTCCTCTGCAATGGGCTGCAGGAGAGAAGCATCACCCATGGGTGGCCTCCACGCTTCACCCCGCTCTGCTGCCTATGAAGAAGGCATCTCCTGGCCACGGGGTGGGGTTGGCAGCTCCAAAACATGACCAAAGCCCTCCGAGGAGGTGGGGAGGGAAGGAAACCACCCGTGTCCCTGCCTGACGTGGGCTCCTCGGGAGACCTCAGCCCTGGCTCTCCACGGGCTGGTTCCTGCCCGTCCCAGCAGGCTCTGCAGAGGAGCCAGCCCCGCTCCCGGGCTCACATTCTTGGCATTTTTCTCTTTCATTTCCTTCTCCTCCTTGTCTATAATTTCTCTCTCCCTCTTTTCTGTCTCCAGCCCCTCTCTGGCGTCGTGGTTCCTCTCCCCCCCTTGCTGAGGAGGAGGACACCCGGCTGGCTCCCTCCCGGTGGCATTTTAACTGCAATTCCTCTTCCTTTCTTCTCATCATTATTTTTCCTTTAAGCAAAATTCTTTCCCTGGCGTGACATCACAGCAGAGCCCTCCCAGCACCTTTACAAGGGCACCGTCCCTCTTTTCTCCTCCATCCTCACAGCAAAACTTTGGTCCTTTTTGGGTCTCCTGAAGAACCCCCAGCCCCTGGTCAGAGCTGCCCGTCCCCAAACCCTCCAGCTCCCTCCCACTCTCCCTGGCTCCCAAGAAGATCCCAGGATTGCTGAAATTGGTGGAATCTGGCAGCCTGACAAGCGAGGTGGGTGGGTGCAGAGCTGGCTCCTGTCCCACATCTCCCTCCAGCTGTGGGGACTCCTGCTCCAAGCCCAGATGTTTTCCTGGCCACGCTCCTCCTGCCCCTGTGGTTGCTACCTGGTGCTTTGAGGGGGAGCCCCTGGCCCAGGTTTCCCAGAGAGGTGGTCGCTGCCCCATCCCTCCAACCATTCCAGGGGAGGTTGGATGGAGCTCTGAGCAACCTGCTCTAGCTGCAGATGTCCCTGCAGGGGGGGTTGGACCAGATGATGTTGAAAGGACCCTTCCAACCCAAAACGTTCTATGATTCTACATGGGAAGAGTCTGACCACCCCAAAGCTCATCGAGATAAGGTGACTTGTCCTGCAGCCACCCTCCCCAGTTCTTCTGGGCTCTGCCTGTGCACTCCCTGCCTCCATCCTCCTCCTGGAGTCAGACCAACCACGCGTGGTCCTCCCCCCAGGCAGGAGAGGAGTCCTGGATGAGAGGAGTCCTGGATGAGAGGAGTCCTGGATGAGAGGAGTCCTGGATGCCCTCCCCGCCATGTGGCTGGGGTCCCAGATGGTCCAGGGCAGATGTGTCACCTGGAGAGGGCCGTACCTTGTTCAGGACATCTTTTTGGGAGCCCAGGTAGAGATGTGGCAGGATGCGCGTGGGGCCGACGTTGGCCACGGGCAAGCAGGGTTGGGAGATGCTCATGGGCAGGATGGCGGCTGGTTTCCCCTCACAGAGCCCCGGGAAGCAGGAGGAGAAGGTGGCAAAGCCTCCTGTGGAGAGAAAGGGGATGTTGAGCTCGGGGACAGCGAGGTTGAGACCATCAGGGACACCCAGAACGGAGCCTGGAGGAGCAAAACCACCACCCGTGGAGACACGTGGTGATGACTGTGCCACCACGCGCACGGAGGAGGGGATGGAGGCCCACCTCTGAGCTTTCCTCAGGACAACCAGGGTCACTTTTTGACAGCAAAACCCACCAGGGCACACGACAAGCAAGCCCACCGAGGCGCAAAGCTCCCCACCACACCAGGGAGGTCAACACGAGTGTGACAGCAAGCTCCAGTTCAACCCACCAAGCTGAGGACCATTGTTACCCAGCTTGAGCATCTTCCAGCCTGATGTTGAGAGAAACCCCCTCAGCTGGGGCCATGGGAGGTGGCATCTGCCAGCCAGAGGCATCACCACGGTGTCTGGCACAGTCTAGATGCCTCAAAGTCCATCCCCAGCTCGAGGCAAGGGCAGGGCAGCCAACATTGTCCTGCCTGCATGGTGGGCAGCTCGGGGAGCTGGAAACTTCCCAGTGCTGTCACACGTCCACGAGAGGCCACCAGTGACCTGGATTTGCTCTTTCTCACCAGCCCTGTTCTCTTGGGTAGAGCTGGGTCTGGTTAGTGGTGGCCCAACCTCACTTCCCTCCAGCTGAAGGCAGCTGGGTGTCAGCTTGGTGAGACAGAGAGGACCTTGAGTCATAGCAGCCCAACCAGCCTCCCTTGAGGTTTTCTCAGTCATCCCACTGAGCAGAGGCAGCCTGACGTCACCCAAAGAAGACTTTGGGGCTTGATGGCCTTTGACTGTCAGAGGATGCCTCCACCAGACCCTCCTGAAGGTCCAAGCCTTCAGACCCAGAGCCAAGAGAATCTCTGGCCCATCAAGACCTTCTAAGGAGCCTTTGCTGACGACCTCTCCACTCAGTCTCTGTCCCCTTTGGAAGCAGGGCAGCCTTGGCACGTTCTCCATTTACCTTCTCCAGGACTTCAGCAGCATTTCTGCTGATCCTCCTGGAGCACCTCCCTGGCTGCTGGTGTGGCACCCAGGGGCCCTGGTGGGGCATGATGGCTGCTGCAGACAACCCATAGCACGTCTTTAGGAGGTGAAGGTGATGGAGAAGCCAAAGGAACCCACAAAATTGTCCTTATACACCCAAGTTCCTCCATCACCATCTCAGCAGCTCCTACTGCTCCAACAAGAAGGTGTCCTCCAACCAACCTCTCCCCTCTCACACTTTCCTGGCTGGCAGCTGACCCAGCTCCCAGCTCCAAAACCCAGCCAGGCTGGGAGGGGCAGAGTTAACCCACCTTATCTTCTCCAGCACTTCCTTCCCTCTGCCTCCCTCCGAAATGACATCACCTCTCAACTGGGACATGAAATCAGAGGGAAAGCAGGAGGCCCAGGGCAGGTGCAACACAGCTCTGGTTACTGCTCATCCCACCACTGAGGAGCAGATAGCACTGGCCAGGACCCTGTGTGGACACGTGGACCTCCTCACTTCACCCCATGCTTCAGCACACGCCTGGGAGATGCTCAAGCTGAAGGGTTGCCTTCAGCTCAAGGGTCTCCTTCAGCTCCAGGGGCAAGCACAGCCCTGGATTGCTCCAGTCCCCACCAAGCACAGCCCTGGATTGCTCCAGTCCCCACCAAGCACAGCCTTGGATTGCTCCAGTCCCCACCAAGCAGAGCCCTGGATTGCTCCAGTCCCCACCAAGCACAGCCCTGGGTTGCTCCAGTCCCCATCAAGCTCAGGAGGGATTTGGATTGGAGCTGGAGCAGGTGCTTGGGCATCTCTGGTGTCTTCTTGGTGTTCCCCTCGAGCCTGGTGAGGGCTTGGTCCCTGCGTTGCTCATGGCTCCAGTGCTCCCCAAAGCTCTCAAAGCCATTTTCTGGAAAATCCAGTGTCTCCTGCAACTACCTGAGGCAGAGGTGGGGCCAGGCAGGAGAAGGGGAGATGTTTGGACAGAAGGAACCAGGCCAGAA